ATGAGCCTCAAAGAGCCTAACTCTAGACTTACCAGGTGGAGACTTAAACTAAGTGAATACGATTTCACAGTCATTTACAAAAAAGGCAAAAGCAATACCAACGCTGACGCCTTATCTAGAATTGAGATCCACAACGAAGAAATAAGCTCAATAGTAGCTAATCCCTCTGAAATACCACTAACTATTGATAATTCTGCCACCAGTACAGCCCACACAAGTCATGAACATCCCATTCTAGAAGTTCCTATCACTGACGAGCCCATCAATAAATTTCACAGACAATTATTTATGACTATCGTAGGAGATATTAAACGACGACCTGTGACTAAACCGTTTGAAACTCACACTCGTGTAAATGTACAAGTGACAGAATCAGACTTAGAAAATGACGTAGTGAATGCCGTGAAAGAGTACGTTAATCCTAAAGTCAAGACAGCCTTATTAATAAACCCACCTCTGGCTATGTACCAAATCATTCCTATAATCCAAGAAAAGTTCAAGAGCTCTTCAATGAATATCGTGCTGTGTAAAACAGAGTTAGAGAATGTTAAAGAGTACCTTAAACAGCAGGAAATAATCAGGCATTATCATGACGGTAAAACGAATCACAGAGGCATTAATGAATGCTATCTTTCACTTTCTCGTAGATACTATTGGCCAAAAATGAAAGATCATATTACAAAGTTCATTAACGAATGTACTACAGTCGAGGTCAACTAATTAGGGACAGATAGAATACTAAGCAATACTAAGTGTTCATATCCTATTATTGTGAGCTTCATTCAATATTACTGGCTGTTACTTTGTAAACATATTATGGACTATCAAGTACTCTATTTAACAGAATACAATAACAACAAAAAAACTTACTAACTTAATAAAAAATCTTAATCAAATCACATGAATCGGTAATTATGGTACGGACGGTCTGGTCACCTAATTAGGGACGCTTAAGTTTTTCCTTCTAAATAAAAAAAAAAAAAAGTAATAACTTTTATTCTGTTCATTTGTAATTTTGGCGTCAATTTGAAAAGCGATATTCTTATCTTGCGAGTTAAAAACTCATCAAATTATTAAAGGTAATGGGCTGAAAGAAAAAAAACAACGCGCTAAGTTATAATCAATCTTTATCAGTGTGGATGGCCATACCGGTAAATTGCAGATCATCTGAAATGTTCCAAAAACATGAATCCACGATGCAGTGGCTTATTTCAAAATCATGAAACCACAGAAAGAATGCCTAGAAGGAAGAGGCCAATAAAAACAACCCCACAAGATGATCGCAGAATGGTCACTCTCGCAAAGAGAGACCCCATTAAGGGCTTCGTTCTGATCAAGAGCGAGATTTTTGGACCAGAACCGACTGCTGGAGTATCTGCGAGGGTTCTATATTCGCNTAAAAGCAATACCAACGCTGACGCCTTATCTAGAATTGAGATCCACAACGAAGAAATAAGCTCAATAGTAGCTAATCCCTCTGAAATACCATTAACTATTGATAATTCTGCCACCAGTACAGCCCACACAAGTCATGAACATCCCATATTAGAAGTTCCTATCACTGATGAGCCCATCAATAAATTTCACAGGCAATTATCTATGACTATCGTAGGAGACATTAAACGACGACCTGTTGTGACTAAACCGTTTGAAACTCACACTCGTGTAAATGTACAAGTGACAGAATCAGACTTAGAAAATGACGTAGTGAATGCCGTGAAAGAGTACGTTAATCCTAAAGTCAAGACAGCCTTATTAATAAACCCACCTCTGGCTATGTACCAAATCATTCCTATAATCCAAGAGAAGTTCAAGAGCTCTTCAATGAATCTCGTGCTGTGTAAAACAGAGTTAGAGAACGTTAAAGAGTACCTTAAACAGCAGGAAATAATCAGGCATTATCATGACGGTAAAACGAATCACAGAGGCATTAATGAATGCTATCTTTCACTTTCTCGTAGATACTATTGGCCAAAAATGAAAGATCATATTACAAAGTTCATTAACGAATGTACTATATGTGGCCAGAGTAAGTACGATCGAAACCCAATAAAACAGCAATTCAATATAGTGCCCCCAGCATCCAAACCATTAGAGATACTACATGCCGATCTTTTCACAGTACAGTCTGAAAAATATATAACTTTCATTGACGTCTTCTCCAAATACGGACAAGCCTATCATCTCAAAGATGGTACTGCAATCAGCATCCTGCAAGCCCTTTTAACTTTCTGTACTCATCATGGCCTTCCTCTGACAATAGTGACTGACAACGGTACCGAATTTACGAACCAACTCTTCGCTGAATTTCTCAGACTCCACAAGATAACACATCATAAGATCTTACCTCATTCTCCGAATGACAACGGCAACATTGAACGTTTCCATTCTACGTTATTAGAGCATTTACGCATCTTAAAATTACAGCGAAAGGACGAGCCTATAGTGAACCTTATGCCCTACGCATTAATCGCATATAATAGTTCGATCCATAGTTTTACTAAGTGTAGACCATACGACATACTTAGAGGACATTTTGACCCACGGGATCCTATTGACATTGACTTGACAGAACGTTTACTTCAACAATATGTTGAAACTCATCGAGAACAAATGAAAGCCGTCTATGACCTAATTAACGAATCTTCATTAGCCAACCGAACAGCCCTCATAGAAAATAGAAACAAATCTAGGGAACCTGAAGCTGAATATGAACCCCAGCAGCAGGTATTCATAAAAAATCCGTTTGCTAGTCGCCAGAAAGTAGCTCCTCGTTACACACAGGACAAAGTCCTTGCTGATCTCCCAATCCACATTTATACGTCGAAGAAACGTGGTCCTGTAGCTAAATCACGGTTAAAACGAACACCCAAGAACGTAAAATTGTTACAGGATACTTCTGTTGCTGTCTGCCCTCCTGGCTCGAGCTCAGGAGATAAAGCTTGACAACCTGGATGATGGACCTGGCCTGTTACCCTTTAAACTCGGACCTACTCGATTAACCACCCATTATCACACCTTTCTACAGTACATAGAACTAGACAAAATTGAAAATCAGATTTCGACCCTCAAAGATCAATTACATGACTATAAAAATAGACTGACAAATGATACATTCATCTTATATGAACTTCAGATAGATTACTTATCTACTAAGATAGACAGAATCTTAGATCACCTTAACTCCCTGGAGCCTAGTAGGACAAAAAGAGGTCTACTTGATGGTTTAGGATCAATCGTTAAGAGTATTACAGGAAACCTGGATTATCAGGACGCCATTAAGTATAACGACGCTCTTAAAATACTTAAAAATAATCAGAACAAGATAGTCGCGGAGTTAAATAATAAGATTAGCTTAAATAATGAGTGGATGTCAGAGCACAGTAATGTAATTAATCAGCTTATAGAAAATCAGAGTAAAATCAATAGCACATTACAGTTAATTTTAGATAAAAATGCATATTACGATAATAGCCTTATTAAATATGGTAAATTTGCACAGTTATTAGCTATTATTTCAGAAAACACAGATGACTTATTAAACGAACTTATTAGAATAGAAAATATCTTAGCTTTTTCACGTACTACAACCACTCATCATTCAATGTTAAGTTTAAGTGTACTTAAGATTATGTTAGAAAGATTACGTGCGATCTATAGCAGTGAGCAAGTAATAAACTTAGAATTAAGAGACTATTATAATATTATAAGATCTGGTTCATATTTTGTTGGGAAGCAAATAGTTATAGTCTTTAGATTTCCCATAGTTTCACCTAGCATATTCGATCTATATAGGTTGTCTGTAGCCCCGAATAAATTCCACCAAGTCCTCATTCCACCCTTTCCTCTCATAGCAACTGATAGAAAAGAGTATGTGTACATTGAGGCTGAATGCCCGAAGTATGAAGGTCAACATCTCTGTGAGGAGAGCCCGCATCAGAAACTTCGCACCGAACCAGACTGCGTTACACAAATCATACTTCATCAGACCATCAGCTCAACATGCAACTTAACAACTGTTCATCTGTCAAGAGAAGCAATGGAACGACTCGACGACAGAAGTTATATCGTAACGTTCCCCAGACCTACTAAAGTTCAACTGCACTGTGGCACCGAAGACTACAATTTGCTGAATGGCAGTTTCCTCGCAACGATACCTATTCATTGCACACTGCGTACTACAGAATTCACGATAGCGAACACCGATGACATCACGCAAGGCCAGCCGCTTAAAATTATGAAGATCACATTCCCAGATGACACCAAGATCGCTTCTTCACACCTCAGTCTTAACTCTATAGACCTGAGAACACTTCATAAGATCCAAGATAAAATCATGGTGCAGCCTCCGTTGGAATTGACGACACCACCTGAAACACTTTACCACACGACTATACCATTCTATATCGTGTTATTCGGTGCAGCCGCACTAACAGCCATCATNAACAATTACATATTTGTCCGTCAGACAGATAATTAGAAAATATTAGACTCATATTTTTTATTTTCTTTCATGGTTAAATAATAACAGTGCCTACATCGAGTTGAAATTGCGCGTTACGTCACGCTTGAGTAGATTTTTAATTCAAAAGTGACGTCACGCGACATTTCAACTCAATATAATACTGTAATTATTCGATTATGAAAAAAATTTAAAAATATGTGTCCGAAATTCTTTTATTCTGACGGACTAAATAGAATTTAGTTTTCATTACCCAGTCATCATCCCTATTGTGTAAAACGTATGTTTGAACCAAATAAACTATTTTTCTTTCTTTCTTTCAATAGCTCTGTCACTTAACACTGACCTCTATACACACTGGACTGGTTGCTGTCATATTTTTGTGCCTATATGATTTTGGCGCTGTATGCCATACTGTAGGCAGACATGAGTGTCCATGGAACTAATGGTGGTTTTCTTTGTGCAAATACTTGTACTGATAACTTAGTACAATAAAATGAATTTGGTTTTGAATAGGCAGATAGTTTTTAGACTAATCTTAAAGCACCATAAAGCTAAAATATTTAAATAATACAAACTTTCTCGCTTGTTTATCAGCCTCAATTTGTGCCCGTACTCTTTCCCTTGCTTTCTGATCCTCAATTTTCTCTCTTCTGCGCTGCTCCACCAATTTAGTCATCTCCTGCTCCTGTAGCCTTAAACGGGCATCTTGTAAATCTTTACCAGACTTTATACGGAGGCGTTCCCTTTCCAATGCCTCAGCCTGGAATTACATGAATGAGATTTTGAATTAGTAGTGAAATAAGAAAGCAATAAGTATCAATGATTTTAACTGAATGAGTTATGTACCTTTTCCCTATCTTCCCTTTCCTTCCGCTTCTGTTTCATTCGCTCTTCTAGCAACGCCAGCTGAGCTTTCTTCTCTTCTTCAGTCAAAGGCTTTTTCTCTTCCGTGGACTCCGAGAAGCTGCTATGATTCGTCTTGGCCGCATGAAATTCCATTTCGTCCTGATTCTTAAGCAATTTACCACATTCATCGCATTTGAATGACTTGGCTTCAGCTTGTGACGAACTTTCGGCAGTCGATTCGGCCGGCACGGGGGGCGTTTCGGCGGTTTCCGCTACATTCGATGACGAACTCGATCCAAGCATTTGCCCGCCAGTAGTGTCCATGGCTGGGTCATCAGCGTGTGCCAATAACCATTCCATAGCCGGCTCAACCCCTTTGTAATTCGTTACAGCTAGTGCTTTCTCTCTAAAACCAAGAAAATATTTATCGTAACACATAATCTAACCTCTACATAAAAACTGGACTTTCGGAATTTTTGTATTTAGTACTTACGCTCGCTCTTTGGAGAATCCCATTTCTATTAGAGTTTGTATTTCAGCCATTGTAATTATACCTAAATCACGATTTTAAATTTCACAAATTGCAATTTTGATGCCTCAAGCATTCATCAGCTGTTTTGACTTTTTTTCATATTTTTTTTCTAATTATGTTTTATTACGGCTTTGGGTACACAATGTTTTGCGCCAATCGTCGTTCATTAAAAAAAGTCGAGCGTTTCGTTCCGAGAAAAAATTCAATATGCATTGTAACTATTGTAAGTAGTTTAACTAAAAATACACTGTAATAGTGGTAATAGTGAGTATAAAATATTAGTTGAGCTTTCCTTATTCCGCAGTGATCGTGTTATTAAAGAGAAATGATCTGCGTCCACTGAAACCAACTTGACAGTCAGTTTCCGTTTCCCAGCCAATGAACAGCCAGCATTAAATGAAACTGACTTGACAGTTTATGAAATTTAATTTAATGGCGGTAAAATTAAAACGTTTTCATCAATTTACACTTCAACATTGTACAATACACAAAATATTAGTAAACAGTTTAATTTGATCAAACTAAACTAGCTAAATATGTCAACTCAACGGAAGGGAAGGCGAAAAAGTATCCAGAACAGTGATCCAGGCAAAATTTTAGATTTGGTGATGAGTCTCAATGATGAAGCCTGTGCTCAGTTGCAAATCAAAATAAATACTTATGTAAGTGTGCTTCTGCTTCCATTATGTAAGGTTTGGGCCGATTTTTGACCAATATTATAGTCTAATATGCAAAAGACTGAACAAAGGTACTGCTGTCCAGTATGCGCTCTCGAAATGACTATCTACCCACACAGTACCTATCTTCTCATTGGCTCTATATTAAAAAATCAGATAGCAGAGCGGTAATATGTTTTATGAAACGGATCCATGGATGTCCACCCACAAGGTGGACCGACGACCTTAAAAAGTTAGCAGGAAGGCGCTTGATGCAGGCCGCTAGCAACCACGCAATATCATAAGGAAATCATTGGGGAAGGCCTATGTTCAGCAGTGGACTTCCTGTGGCTGACATGATAATGATGATGATCCATGGATCGTTTTTTTCTAGCTTGCTGATGAATGTGAAGCTGACCTGGTACTGCTAGTGGTGGTGAACGCGGAGCGCATGGAGGCGTCTATTGATGCAGTCGGATCGGCTGCATTGCAACGGAAACATAAAATATGTGTAAGGCATTTTTATCTGGTTGCTTATTCAGTTTTCGTTCGTTTCAGCCAAATGTCGACAGTTGGACAAAGGCCTTCCAAGGATTTCTACAACTACAGGCTCTGCGCTGCCCGCATCTAGACACCTCAGTCATCATATTTTAAACTCATGTTTTAAATCACCTTAATTTCAAATTACCGACCTATAGCCGTATACAGAAAGAAAGCTGGAAACTCATAAGCGCTTACCAGCGCTTGTCCGTTCGTTCACAAAGGAAGCAGGTTGAATGCCTTTTTATATGGCAGCGTCCAGCGCTGACCAGCGCGTGTTGAAACTTGTCGGCGCCGTTCAGCGCTTATCGGCGCGCGTTCATATATCTTCCTGCGCGGGTTACTAGCGCTGCAGCGCTGGTAAGCGCTTATAACTTTCCAGCTTTCTTTCTGTATGCGGCCTAAGAAATCATTTGCCATTTGACCCACTCTCGTGTTTGTTTGTAGATGTCGCTGAAATTAGGGGATGTGCTGAAATCTCTTCAGGAACAAACTGAATTGTTGAGTAATTTTCCACCCGACTTCCAAGCCATACTCGCTCCTGTAAGTTTATTTTATAACATTTCTTTCACAACCATCAGGTAAGTAAGTACCCGCCTTACCAAAAGAACCTTTATACTTCTGCTACTAAATTTGATGCGTTTAGATCGGAAATAATAGAATCTAGATTTTTTTCATCCACAACGAGAAAGCTTTGGCCTGTATCTCACTCACCTGATGGTAAGTGACGATCAGGCCGAAGGTGGAAGCGAGCTTCACCCGGATACCTCAACCACGGAGGAACTGGCTATCTTACCTCTAACTGCCGGAACACAATAATGCTGTTAAAATTGTTGTTATGGCGACAGACTTAGGTAAGAATCTGATGGTGGTTAGATTCCTAATATATTTTGTTCTGATGGCAGTACGTCCCGAAAGATACCCAGAAGAGGCGTATGGTGATGTATCCCATCTCGGACCGGCCATTCTCGGTGATCGTATGCATTTTGGCGCCCAAAGTGCAAGAGGATCACGTCGCCATACTCATCCATGAATGCTTTCTGTTAGTTTACCTTCATTTTTGAGTTACCTTAGTTTATGATGCCGTATTACTTTTTTTTCGAAGAAGCAGGAACCAGTACCTACTACTAATTCTTGAATAACTTAGTAGATATGAAATAGTTTCGATAGAGGAGATCCAAAAACGAACTAAAGTCGCTGACGTAGCCCGACGGATTAGCAGGCTGAAGTGGCAACGGGCAGGGCAAACAGTAAACATAACCATTCTCAAGGTGGACCGACGACCTCATAAAGTTAGCAGGAAGGCGCTAGATGTGGCCGCAAATCAACTAGTCATTATGGAAATCATTGAGGGAGGACTATGTTCAGCAGCAAGTTGACTTCTTATGGCTGAAATGATGATGATGATGATGATGATAACACCTATGTTTCAGGTTCACTTGGCCTACCTTGAAGAAGACCATTCGTTTCGAATACGAATGCACCCTAAAACAGAAATGCCAACAACTCCTGCGCGTAGCTAAACGACTCTTCACTCAAGTAAGTGTTGTCATTGCATTCCATGTTACATTAGGACCTTCAAAATAATATGGGAGTACATTATGGATATTATGTAAATTAAGACTTTAATATTATCATCCCTGGAGCATTTATCACAGTGTAAGGTAAATAGGAAGAGTTGGGTGCTAGTATTATAGACCTGATTCCAACTAAGAACAGCGCAATTTGCGTCACTATTCCTAAAGCCGCAAGGCGCATTACAGGTGGCATCCCTGGACACGCTTCTGCAGATCGCAATGGACCAGGCGAAGCAGTTGACCAAGGCCGAGTACTGTTCAGTGATGCTGGTTGACGTGGAGCGAATGGAACTCATCGACTCCAGCGCCCACTGGAAGGTCAGGCAGAACCCAGCCATGAATGGATCCCAATGAGGGTTTTCGCGTATGAAAAATCCACCAGTGATGGCAATACGTAGACGCGAGGTCCAAATGCTGCATGATTGGTTATTTTTGACATGACATTGACAGATATGTCAAAATCCACCAATCACGCAGCAGTCAGACCCCACATCCACGTCCCGCCATCTAGCGGATACGCGAAAACCCTCATTGATATCCTCGTTCGTTCGTTTCACCCAAATGACGTCCACTGCTGGATAAAGACCTCCCCCAAGGATTTCCATAACTACCGGTCCTGCGCTGGCCGCATCCAGGCTCTTCCTGCGACCTTCACCGGATCGTCTGTCTACCTAGTGGGAGGCCTGCCCACGCTACGTCTTCTGGCCCGTCGTTGCCACTCGTATTTCGATACGTCACAGATAATATAATACTGATACGTCGTATCCTCACAATTAATGAAAAAAATATCTCCAAATCCCAAAAAGATCCAATTTCCTATAGTTTGACCCATCAGAAGCGCCAGAAGTTAATTCCGTCCATATCAGACGCCTATAACGGGTCTTTTTTGGTTGTGATCTCAGTAGAATAAAACCTACAGTCCCATACTGTTGTAGAATAAACTCATAATTATTCAAACGTAGGTAAATTTTAACTAGTTACATAATAATATGCTAGTCTAAAGATGGGCAGCGCAGGACCGCAGGCCTTTGTCCAGCAGTGGACGTCATTTGGCTGAAAAGAAAGAAGAAAGAAAAGATGTGTATAACTGTAGAATCACTCTGAGGACGAAAAAGAACGCAGATTTCCGCTAAACAAAGGAATCGCTGGTTACGTTATACAAACTGGTCAGCTGGTGAATGCGAAGTCTGCTAAAGACCATGGTTCTTTCGACGCCGACATAGATGGGGGTCCTGGTATAGACTGCAAGTAAGTACCTACCTTCCCAATTTTTCCAGTTGTCTTTCCGGGTGAATTTTATTTAAGATCTGTAGAGGAGATAGCCTATCTTAGAGCATTTGACTATATCCAACTACTATAATATTGTCTTCACGTTAAAGGTTCTCATGGTTTCAAAACGGCAGAGATGCATACCCCCACCATAGACTGTTAGGTTCTTTCATTGGCCGAAAATTTTGGGAGAAGATTCAAGCCCTTCTCCCAAAATTTTCGGTTTGTAAAACGAGTCCATCAGGTGATTGAAATGTTGGAAATTATGTGACAAAAAGTGCTACTGATTTAATTGTCTTTTCTCAGGACAATCTTGTGCTTCCCCATCCGAGAACAGACCGGGATCATTGGGGTGGGTCAGCTGATCAACAAGATTGGGGACCCCTACTTCGATGCCATGGACGAAGAGATGGCTCTGGCCTTCAGCATCTACTGTGGGGTGTGCATCATACATTCGGTGGTCTACCAGAAGATACAAGAGGCGCATATTCGGAACACGCTGGCTAATGAGCTGGTCATGTACCATATGAAGGTATGGGAATAACGGCTACGTTAGTACTAAATAATGGTCTAGGTAGGTCAACTCTCTGCGCGTGAGTTGAATGCTGGGCGCCATAATTGAATGTCCCAAAAAAAAAGTCTGCCTTCAACTCGCGCGTGAACATAATGCTAAAAATCGAAGAAGTGGGAAGAAGCTGTTAAAAATTATACTGGGGGCAGTTTCATAGATTTCTGAAAGTGGTTTAGATTAAACTTTTTTTTATTAAAAGAGAGCAACCACCATAGCTATCGTCTCTGTCATCCCTGAGACAGGCATAGCCAGGTACCCTAAAATGGGACTCCGGCTTTAGCCATGTATTATATTTAACCTTACTTACATTATCATTAAAAACTAAAGGTACTTGTACTTGTGACTGTTTGTCAGATATCTCTATCTGGGACTAAGTTGCAGGTTTTCTGATAGAGAGGTTCTTATTAGGCTATCAGGGAATCATCAATGGTGAATGGTGATTTTCATTAACTCGTAAACAGGTGGGTGATGCGGAAGTGGCTCGGATGCTGGAGTGCTCGGGTTTCCACAACCACCCGCATCTATCCAGCCTGCACTTCAACCCGCGCGCGCTGCCGCTGCGGGAGCTACCCTGCTATGCGCTCAAGATGTTCTCCGATTTGGGATTGGACAAAAAGTAATGTGGCGATCATAATTTATTGGTATACTCGTAATCGGTTTCTAAATTGTCAACCTTTACTTTTATCAACATTGTTTTGGTGTAATTATTTATAATATCTGTTTAATAAGCACTAACTTACATAATAAGTATGGATACCTACAACACAGGCAAACATTTTTGCTTAGTTTAGGTAAGTATACTACCATAATTAACATATTGTTACTAACCAAATAATTTCATAGTCCCATTTAAGTTTCTTGTATTTAGGCTAAGTTTTTATTCAATAAATTTATCTTATCTCTTATCTATCTATATATATAAAAATGAAACCCGTTTCGCGTTGTCACGGCATCACGTGTGAACGGCTGAACCGATTTCGACAATTCTTTTTTTTAAATGTTTGTGGAAGTCCAAGGATGGTTCTTACGGAAAAAAATATTGAGAAAATCTCTACGCTAAGGCGGTACGAAGTTCGCCGGGTCAGCTAGTCTTAAATAGAATTGTTGGACGGGTATCTATTCCCGTAACCGTAAGACCACGGAAGACCTGGGCATGTTCTTGTTCTATCTTGTCGTGACTAGTTCTGACAATGCACACGAGCCACGAAGCCACGATAGCCGAACGGTAAAGAGGTCGTCGGACTGGCCGACTCGTGATCCGGGGAACGCGGGTTCGGTCCCCGCCGCCGCTCGACTATTGTGATGAGCTCACTCGTGACACAAGCATATTTAGCTTAGTACGAGGGGCTAACGGGAGTATTAGTAATTTTTGCAATAACAAATTACTAATAATCTTTTAAAAAAAGCAAAACTATTTTGCGAGACGTAGCGAAATGATCATGATAACATTAGGTCGAATTTAATTTATTTTCACATCATCTGCTATAGGTTTAACATAAAAACCCCAAAACTAGCCCGGTTCATCCTATACGTGAAAAAGGGCTACCGCGACGTGCCGTACCACAGCTGGCTGCACGCGTTCAACGTCGGCCAGTGGGCTTATGCCGCGATTGTCAACTACAAACTCGTCTCGCAGGGGTATTTCAGGTAAGAGTAATATACACTCGCGAGCAAAACTATGGAATCACTTATATGAAGTTGTTTCCACGCGATCTTGTGTACTAACGAATTTGTAAGTAACAAAAAAAGTGGCACCATTTTAAAGATTAAACTTTTACCTTTAAATTGATATCAAATTCATTTAAATCACACCGGTATTTAAAAAGATATCCCGGCTGATGTGAAGAAGTAAGGAAAAAGACATGTATCAACTGTTTTATACGTCGCGAGTTGCGGCCTACTTACCCCCTACAAAAACACGAGTTTTCGGATTTTTGCTTTCACACGTTGATCCATACACATCTCCGCTTTTTTGACACTTTACCTGGGATTCTACACCTTCAGAAGCAGCACAAATCGTTGCACTATTGCAAGAAGGGCTCAGCCAGCNAACTAAATATAACTTTATTGTTGTTATTTTATCGCATTCTTTTCAAATGGACACGTGTGCCTGTGTACCGTCCTATTTGTCAGACTTACTCAGTTTATAGTTTTCAATTGCGAAGGAATTTGTTATTGCTGCGTACCCCTATAAGAGAGAAACGCTACCCATGTACCTGCATTAGCGAGAAACTCGGGTTAGTGAGAAACCTCTATAAGCGAGAATGAGATTGTGCTCCCTTGAACTCTCGCTTATCCAGGTTTGACTGTACACACTGGACTGGTTGCTGTCATATTTTTGTGCCTATATGATTTTGGCGCTGTATGCCATACTGTAGGCAGACATGAGTGTCCATGGAACTAATGGTGGTTTTCTTTGTGCAAATGCTTGTACTGATAACTTAGTACAATAAAATGAATTTGGTTTTGAATAGGCAGATAGTTTTTAGACTAATCTTAAAGCACCATAAAGCTAAAATATTTAAATAATACAAACTTTCTCGCTTGTTTATCAGCCTCAATTTGTGCCCGTACTCTTTCCCTTGCTTTCTGATCCTCAATTTTCTCTCTTCTGCGCTGCTCTACCAATTTAGTCATCTCCTGCTCCTGTAGCCTTAAACGGGCATCTTGTAAATCTTTACCAGACTTGATACGGAGGCGTTCCCTTTCCAATGCCTCAGCCTAAAATTACATGAACGAGATTTTGAATTAGTAGTGAAATAAGAAAGCAATAAGTATCAATGATTTTAACTGAATGAGTTATGTACCTTTTCCCTATCTTCCCTTTCCTTCCGCTTCTGTTTCATTCGCTCTTCTAGCAACGCCAGCTGAGCTTTCTTCTCTTCTTCAGTCAAAGGCTTTTTCTCTTCCGTGGACTCCGAGAAGCTGCTATGATTTGTCTTAGCCGCATGAAATTCCATTTCGTCCTGATTCTTAAGCAATTTACCACATTCATCGCATTTAAATGACTTGGCTTCAGCTTGTGACGAACTTTCGGCAGTCGATTCGGCCGGCACGGGGGGCGTTTCGGCGGTTTCGGCTACATTCGATGACGAACCGGATCCCAGCATTTGCCCGCCAGTAGTGTCCATGGCTGGGTCATCAGCGTGTGCCAATAACCATTCCATTGCCGGTTCAACACCCTTGTAATTCGTTACAGCTAGTGCTTTCTCTCTAAAACCAAAAAATAATAATTTATCTTATTCACTTTTCTAACCTCCACGTAAAAACTGGACTTTCGGATTTTTAGGATTTAGTACTTACGCTCGCTCTTTGGAGAATCCCATTTCTATTAGAGTTTGTATTTCAGCCATTGTAATTATATACCTAAATCACGATTTAAAATTTCACAAATTGCAATTTTGATGCCTCAAGCATTCATCAGCTGTTTTGACTTTTTTTCATATTTTTTTTTCTAATGATGTTTTATTACGGCTTTGGGTGCAAGCTTTTGCGCCAATCGAGCATCTACGTTTCGTTCCGAGAAAAAAATAAATTTGTATTGTAACTATTGTAAGCTTAGATTTATTAATCTAAGATTGTAAGTAATTTTGTATAAGTATTAAATATTAGCATAACAATTGTTATAGTTGAGCTTTCCTCATTAATATAGAGAAGTGATTGCGTCCACTGAAACCAACTTGACACTCAATTTCCGTTTCCCAGCCAATGAACAGCCAGCATTGAAACTGACTTGACAGTTTATGAAATTTAATTTAATGGCGGTAAAATTAAAACGTTTACATCAATTTACACTTCAACATTGATCAATACACAAAATATTAGTAAACAGTTTAATTTGATCTAACTAAACTAGCTAAATATGTCAACTCAACGGAAGGGAAGGCGAAAAAGTATTCAGAACAGTGATCCAGGCAAAATTTTAGATTTGGTGATGAGTCTCAACGATGAAGCCTGTGCTCAGTTGCAAATCAAAATAAATACTTATGTAAGTGTGCTTCTGCTTTCATTAAGTAAGGTTTGGGCCCACTTTTGACCAGTACTATAGTCTGATGTGCAAAAGACTGAAGGTCTACTGTCCAGTACGCGCTCTCGAAATGACTCTATCTACCCACACACACAGTACCTACTTACCTAAGTTAAGTAAGATAATTTATAATAAGAAGATAGGTAATCTTCTCGTTGGCTCTATATTAAAAAATCTGATAGCAGAGCGAAAATATGTTTTATGAAACGGATCCATGGATGTCCACCCACAAGGTGGACCGCTTGATGCAGGCCGCTAGCAAACATGCAATATCATAAGGAAATCATTGGGGAAGGCCTATGTTCAGCAGTGGACTTCCTGTGGCTGACATGATAATGATGATGATCCATGGATGGTTTTTTTCTAGCTTGCTGATGAATGTGAAGCTGACCTGGTACTGCTAGTGGTGGTGAACGCGGAGCGCATGGAGGCGTCTATTGATGCAGTCGGATCGGCTGCATTGCAACGGAAACACAAAATATGTGTAAGGCATTTTTATCTGGTTGCTTATTCAGTTTTCGTTCGTTTCAGCCAAATGTCGACAGCTGGACAAAGGCCTCCCCCAAGGATTTCCACAACTACAGGCTCTGCGCTGCCCGCATCTAGACACCTCAGTCATCTTCTTTTAAACTCATGTTTTATATCACCTTAATTTCAAATTACCGACCTAAGTATAGCCGTACCTATACAGAAAGAAAGCTGGAAACTTATAACCGCTTACCAGCGCTTGTCAGCGCTGGTCCGTTCGTTCACAAAGGAAGCAGGTTGAATGGCATTTTATATGGCAGCGTCCAGCGCTGACCAGCGCGTGTTGAAACTTGTCGGCGCCGTTCAGCGCTTATCGGCGCGCGTTCATATCTATATCTTCCTGCGCGGGTTACCAGCGCTGCAGCGCTGGTAAGCGCTTATAAGTTTCCAGCTTTCTTTCTGTATGCGGCCTAAGAAATCATTTGCCATTTGACCCACTCTCGTGTTTGTTTGTAGATGTCGCTGAAACTAGGGGATGTGCTGAAATCTCTCCAGGAACAAACTGAATTGTTGAGTAATTTTCCACCTGACTTCCAAGCCATACTAGCTCCTGTGAGTTTATTTTATTTCATTTCTTTCACAACCATCAGGTAAGTAAGTACCCGCCTTACCAAAGGAACCTTTATACTTCTGCTACTAAATTTGATGCGTTTAGATCTGAAATAATAGAATCTAGATTTTTTTTATCCACAACGAGAAAGCTTTGGCCTGTATCTCACCTGATGGTAAGTGACGATCAGGCCGAAGGTGGAAGCGAGCTTCACCCGAAATTCTCAACCACGGAGGAACTGGCTATCTTACCTCTAACTACCGGAACACAATAATGCTGTTAACATTGTTGTTATGGCGACAGACTTAGGTAAGATGGTGGTTAGATTCCTAATATATTTTGTTCTGATGGCAGTACGTCCCGAAAGATACCCAGAAGAGGCGTATGGTGATGTACCCCATCTCGGACCGGCCATTCTCGGTGATCGTATGCATTTTGGCGCCCAAAGTGCAAGAGGACCACGTCGCCATACTCATCCATGAATGCTTTCTGTTAGTTTACCTTCATTTTTCAGTTACCTTAGTTTATGATGCAGCATTACTTTTTTTTCGAAGCAGCAGGAAACAGTACTACTAATTCTTGGATAACTTAGTAGATATGGAATAGTTTCGATAGAGAACATCCAAAAACGAACTAAAGTCGCTGACATAGCCCGACGGATTAGCAAGCTGAAGTGGCAATGGGCAGGGCATACAGTAAACATAACTGTCGGCCTGCTTCTGGAGTGGAGACCACGTACCGGAAAACGCAGTGTAAGACGCCCACTCTCAAGGTGGACCGACGACCTCGTAAAGTTAGCAGGAAGGCGCTAGATGCGGCCGCAATCAACTAGTCATTATGGAAATCATTGAGGGAGGACTATGTTCAGCAGCAAGTTGACTTCCTATGGTTGAAATGATGATGATGATGATAAGACCTATGTTTCAGGTTCACTTGGCCTACCTTGAAGAAGACTATTCGTTTCGAATACGAATGCACCCTAAAACAGAAATGTCAACAACTCCTGCGCGTAGCTAAACGACTCTTTACTCAAGTAAGTGTTGTCATCTTCAAAATAATATTGGACATTATGGATATGTGAATATGACTTCAGTTTTATTTTTGTAGTACCCATTTTCATTAAGGCGGTAATATTATAATCCCTGGAGCATTTATCACAGTGTAAGGTAAATAGGAAGAGTTGGGTAGTATTATAGACCTGATACCAACTAAGAACAGCGCAATTTGCGTCACTATTCCTAAAGCCGCAAGGCGCATTACAGGTGGCATCGCTGGACACGCTGCTGCAGATTGCAATGGACCAGGCGAAGCAGCTGACCAAGGCCGAGTACTGTTCAGTGATGCTGGTCGACGTGGAGCGAATGGAACTCATCGACTCCAGCGCCCACTGGAAGGTCAGGCAGAATGAATGGATCCCAATGACGGCTATCGTTTTTATAGGTACTTAACAGTTGGCACCCCTGGCGATTGACAGGACCTTACTCTACAGTGGCGCCATCTTGATGAGTGCAAATGCGATAGTCCTCCTACCACTTTCGCGCTCACC